AGGTTCCATGCCAGGCCCTGGAGATAAGGAGAAGAATAAAGTACAACCATTTTCCTCCTGGAGCTCACAGTTGAGTGGAGAAGTTAGATACATGCAGATAGCTCTGTATACCATAGGAGAACCTAATACACAATGTTCATAAACGTGTTTAAAAAGTACTCCGGGATCAGGGAGAGAGGATATCTGTATCACAGAAGGCTTCATAGCAGAGGTAACATTTGGGCTGGGCCTCATAGGTTGAACAGGATTTGACCAGGCAGAGAAGTAAAGAGAGAGTATCAAAGGTATCACAGCAGAGGAAGTGGGAAAAGCAAAGTGGTGGAAGCAAAAAGAATGCATAGGATGGCAGGAAGCAAAATGAAAGATATTGGACTCTTAGTGGTCCTAAGCTGGGAGTACTTATCTAAATAACTTGGGGAGCTCTATCAAATTTCAGAAGATTGTGATGTACACCCTTAGCTAAAAACTATAGATGGCCGCTGAGATCTTGACTGTACCCTAAAAGTTTCTGGCTTTGTGATTACCACAGTACCTCACAAGAGAGCACTAGACCTAATAACACAAGTTATTGCCATCTAATCCACATTGAGACCTAAGTGGCAAAAATACTGTCTGTGTTCTGGAAGGTGATTTGACACTGATTAATGATTTGATCATTAGAAAGTCAAAGGGAATTGCAAATGAAAATGGAAATACATAATCTCACACATTGAGTTTTCTCTAGTTCATTGAGGAAAAAAAATTTTTTTAGGTTCACCCAAATGCTAAGTCACCTCAGGTGAGAAACTGATGATAATCAGTAATTATCACAGGTGAGATCCAAGATATTTCATAAAGATGGAAATAATAATCTTGTCAGAAATAAAAATCAGCTATCATGAGGGGGTGGGGAACTATAAATCCACACATACTATCCAGCTTGTCTTCACCTCAGAGAGTTTCCAGCTGTTTATAACGTTCTGCTGTACTTTGCCAGAGATGAAATGCATTTTTAAAAACTCTGCTCCAGCTAGCTGAATGAAAGGCTTGGAGACGTATTCTCTTTCAAGACTTGTTAAACACTTGTGAAGTCTGCAGAGAAATGGTAGAAGGTGTCCACTTTCTTGTCAGTTCCAATGAGGATCTTTTTGTTGCAATGCTAGGGTTGATCATTATTTTCTAGGTGAGCTAGTGGAAGACCAGGTCAGGTCTCTCTTGGGTTGAAAGGGCCCTTGATGAGATGCTATGGGCTTTAAACTTATCTAACACCAAAGCCAGCAGTTCAAATTCAAGCCTTGCTAAAGGCAGAGGCAATAAAGGAACACACACTTATGGAGAGCCCAGGGAATATATGTGTTGAGAAATGATTGTGAGAAGGAAACAATCCAAACAACACTTGTATGAATATGCACACGTGTGTATGCGTGCATGCGTGTGCACGCACACACACACACACACACACACTGAGCTAAAGTGTACAAGATAATCAGTGGTGACAGCAGTTATCTCACCAGATTCTAATTAGATTGGAGACTCCTTGAGAGCAAGGACTGAGGTTTTTGAGCTCTGAGTCCCCAGCACTGTTGAGTGAATTACTGAATGGCATGTTGAACCAGAGACGACAGTGGTGTGGGCGTGTGGACATGTCCTTTCACAATCATCCCAGACTGCCTAAAATGCCAGAGATAGGCATTTCACGCCCCGCCCTGGGGCTGTTCTCCCATTCTTCTGCCTGGAATGCTTTTACCCCGTCCTTTCTTCCACTCCCTTGCCTTTTGAAGTCTCAAAATTTTTCTCATTCTTTATAGTCTATCTCAAATGTCTTTTAAAAATAATTCTTCAAGCACACATAGGAACAGGGCATGTTCTCGGAAGTCAGAGAGATCTGGGTTTGAATCCCAGTTCTACTGCTTTCGAATTCTCGAACAAGTTACCTCACTTCTTTGTGCCTCAGTTTCCTCCAGATGGGTTTTGGGGAAGATTTAATGTGATAAAATATGTACAATACTTGCCTCAGTGACCAGCACAGGATAGATGATCAGAGAGTTAACTGTTAGCTCTCTCCCCTGGTTAATCTTCCTCTGTGAAATCTAGCTTCATGCTTAATAAATGTTAGCTCCCTCTGCCTATACATTCTTTAACACTTCTCTTAGATGTCTTTCCCCCAGCCTGCCACTCCCTTAACAAGTATAATTTCTCCCTCCTCTGTTCCATGGTGCTTTGTTTATGCCTCTTTTCCAGCACTTATTAATGTCTGACTTGTGCTATAACTCATTGTTTCCCATCCTTTTCGGCCGAAAATACTTCAAGGGCAGTACCTCCAGCAATTAGCATAGGGACTGGTTTAGAACAGACATTCCATAAACGGTTGTCTAATTGAAACAACATTTAATCCAGCTTTCCAGGAGGCAGAGTGAATATGTAACATGTCTTCTCCCAACACGTACTGAATGGTCTAAGGAGCAAGGAGGAAATTCTCTGGCAATTAAGTGGTTCAGAGTTGATTGCTGTCCATCCAGCCCAAGTGAGCAGAGCCTCTACTTCCAGATGTCTTTTTTTTTCTTCCACTTCTAACCCAGCCTGCCAGAGGAGCATTCCCTAAAGGGTAACCCAATATATCTTTTTTTGGCTGATCTGATTAGAGCGTGAAATACTTTCTTTGGAGAAAATGCACAAGAATGGGCTTTTCTCTGTTTTTGCACAAGAATGAGACAGAGGTGAGGGAGAGAGAGGAAAATTAAAGCCAGAGGAAAATCTATTATACCCCAGGAGATGAAGAACACATGTAGCCAACACAACAGATATTGTCCTGAGTCAAAACTTCAGAGCTTGAGCCATGAAAGATTCCATACCCTTGCACTGATCCCAGGAAAAGAATTAAACAGATGCAAACAAAATAAACAACAAAAAAAAAACCCTCACCTCTTCCCCAGAAGCTATTCTTTGCAGTGATACCTGTACCAACAAAGAAGTGAAAGCAATGTAAAAATACAATGCAATTCAACAAATGTTTACTGAACTACTAAGTGCAGAGGCTCTGGAGTTATGGAGATACTGGTGCAGCTGACTTCTAACCTTAGTCTATTCTTCTATCCACTCGATGATTTTCAGCACAGTATTTCAGCCAGTGTTCAACTAAAGAAGCAGAGCTATTCTGAGTTTTGGGATAAGGGATTTACTATAACAATTCGTCTTAAACAATTATGGGAGGAGCTGAGACAGTTCAGCTCTGAGAGTGAAGAGGACCGAGATCCGTGAAGTCACCAAGCAGTAAATCTCTGAAGAAACTAAGCACACCAGCTGCTGTGAAGGGGTAGCTGAAGGAAAAGTCTACAGAAGTCTGTGGGTCCATAGTTAACTGTCTGGTGGTGGGCTTGGAGTTACTATTGGCCAAGAGAGTCAGCAGTTGGGAAGAGCTGGATGTGGTGTAGAGAGCGAAGACAAGCTGGAATCTACTGGCATCTGCCATATCTCTTATTGCTGTAACTAACCCCCACGATCTCCAGAGAGCAATGGCTGATTCACTTCTGATTCCCAAATCTCAAGCAATTATTGTTTTGACCAGCTTTAATCTAGAACCATACATTTGCAGTTTAACCAAGCTGACACATAAATTTTCTTCATCACCATGAAGTTGTTTCTATCTTCTTCCAATTTTCTACCATGGAAAGATTGGGCTTTTCTAAGGGGCCTGGGTTCTCATCCTGGTTCTGCTCCTCCCTAGCTATATGACCTCAGATAAATTACCATTTCTGGGCCTTATTTGTTCAGGAGCCCTTCCTCTGTGCTATTATAGCCCCCTGTGCTTCTTTCTGTTGTAAGATTTATTTCATTTCCCTGTCATTATTTATTTATGTGTCCATTTCCTCCATCAGACCATAAGCTTAAGCACAGGGATCATCATATCTGGTTCCTCTCTGTAATTATGGTGCCTAACAGTATCTGGCACAGAATAGATGCCCAATAGATGTTTGCCGAAAGAATGAACCCCTGAAAGAAACTCATCAATCTCAGCACTCTGTGAAAATAGGCTGCAGACACCCTTACCTCTTACATAGCTTCTATCTTAATCCACTTCACTTACTAACCTGTTTTAATTATCCTGATTTCTGATACCTGGGCTTGTCTGTGTATCACCTGCTACTACCTCTTAGATATATTACTTGAAATGTTCAGGCCTCTGGTTCTATCTCGTTTGAATTTTCCTTTTCCCCTCTGATGAAACTATTTTCACTTTCTTTGTATATTTTTCACTCTCTATCCTAGGTTCCCGGGTCAGAGAGACGATGAAAGTATCCCCCTCAGAGAGTTCTCAGGCTATTGCCCAACATCAAGGAAACTAGAAATTCCAGGACAGTATGGTAGGAGGTCTGCCTGAAATATGTTCAAAGTACTGTGGGAGCATAGAAAGAATGAACAGCACCTAATCTTACAAAAAAGAGGAGGCTTTCAGAAGGAAGTACAAAGAAAAGGGAAGCTTTCAAAAGAAAGTATAAGTTGATCTGAGTCTTAAGAAATTGCTTAAAAGATTTCCAGGCAGAGAAAGGAGGATGTGGATTACAGACAGATACCAGTAATGCAGAGGTGCGAAGACAGGAAAAATCAGAGTCTGGGGGACCACAGGTAGGCACATGTGGTGTGAAGACCATGGAAGCATGGTTGGGAAGTGGAGGGAGATGAGCAAAAGTCAGGTCATAAATGGCTTGAGTTCCAAGCTAAGGAGCTCAGATCTGACACTGTAGGACAGAGATAATAAATTATTAGGATGATTTGGCCCAAAGATGTGTTTTCTTTGTCTCACAAAATTTTCTTTTTAAATTGTTTGGCCAACATTAAAAATTGAGAGGTTTTGTATAAAATTCTAGATCTCCAGCCTTTGAATAAAAATCAGAAGACCCAGCCACACTAGGCTGTCATTCCCACGTGAGCTAAGTGTTGTTTGTCCTCAGATGTCATATGTATTTTGTAACTTGCTCATCTCCACTACATCCTTTTGTCATCACGCTTGCAACTCTTGTTTTTCTTTAAGGGGAGAAATATTTCTTAGTATCTGTGCCTCTGTGAAAAGTGGAGAAATGGAGGTTAGGCCACAAGAGCTAGGCATTCCAAAAAATGGAGAATATCAACCAGTGTATCTGTTGGAAGACTGCGACTTTCTCTTAAACCCATCCCCTTGCCCCGTTTATGTTACCTGCAGGGTTTTCCATATAAAGAGTGATGACTTCATGGGGCTGCCTGATTTTTCATAAAACCTAATGGCAATGTTCACAGACCATCAAGAAGGAATGAGCCAGGAGTGCTAGTCTTAAAGAAGGTGTAGGAAATAGGAAATGTGTACATGTCTGGCCAGAGCTTGTCAGAGCCAATACTGACTCTCAGAGCCTCACATAGGTGATGAATTAAGTTGAAAGGAATTGAGAGGAGGACTCAGGAAAGGGTTTGTCCGTGGCCCAAAGGCAGCTGATGGCAGGAGTTCTCTGTAGCCAGTGACAGCATGGAGGAAATGCAGTGCAACCCCCCACTTTCCAGATCCAGGACCAAAAGACCTAGTTGTCCCAGAAATCATGCAGAACTGGCCAAGCTTTTCAATAAGACTGTTACTATATCCTTTCAGAAACCCCCTGATCCTCACATCCTAGGACTGCACTGCACTTCCAAGTATCTAAGTCCTCCAGCCCTTCCAGAGCCTGAAACTCCTGCTCTGAGCTCCTTGCAGCTGGCTGAGAAGAGGCTGCCTTGGGCTCCTTCAGGGCCTCCTGTCTTCTGTGATGATTCTCTGCAGCTCAGCTCTGGAAGTCTTACCTCCTTTCCCTGTGTAATTGATCCCAGTCCTCTGGCTCTGTCAGCACCTCTGCTGTGTGCCTCATGACGTGTGTGAGCCTCGAGTCGAGCAGGAACCCTCAGAGTTTCTTCCTGGGACATTGAAGTTGCCTTTCTGTAGTAAGCCAGACACCTGGGCTCTACTAGTTGGAAAGCAGTGCCTTTATTAGGTTCTCAAGGAGAAGGGATCCTCCAAGTCTTCAAACTGATCTCCCCACTCTCAATCTTTTCCCATGTCTATTCTGCTTGTACCTGCCGAATTAAAATACAGGAAAGCAAAATGTTAAGTATGTCATGTTTTTGATCAAAAGCCTCATTGGCTTCTCATTTCCTACCAAATTCAAATAAAATCATCTTCCCTGGTATGTTGGACCTTACCCAGGATGACCCCAAATGCCTTTTCTAGACTTATTTCCCACCATAAACACCGAATACTCCAGATACTTGCAATTCTCTGCAGACAGAATTTTCTTGTCTGTCTTGGTTCTTCTCTTCCTTTCTCCCTTCCCATTCTCACCTGTCTAAAGCCTACTCAGTCTACAAATCTCATCTCAAATTTACCTTCAATGTCCCTAACCATTCCAGTCACGTCATCTCTTCTTGCTTGAGGTTCCTGCCACATGCTCTGTTTTCCTTATTAAATCCTGGGCACTGTCTCCTCCTGATTGTAATTATGTGGCCCCATGTCTTGGCCTTCTTGCTAGACTGAGCTTAGACAACTGGGATGAGTGTGTTCATTAGTATCACTGTGTCCCAGACAGAGTCTGGTGAAAGCAAGATGCTCAGAAATATTCATTTGAGGTGACTGTGTTTCTGTGTTTCTACTGCCATATTTTTCTGTCAGATTCAGAAAAAAAGCCTTTCTGGTATCTCTCATGTAATCCTAGACTCTTCATCAAGGAATGGATCTTAGCTGTCATTTTTGTCTTCTAATCCTGCATTTGATGATAGGAATCTCTTCCTGACACCCCATGTAATTTCCCAGTGGGGTGGTTGGAAAAGTGGTTAGGCCCATCCAGTTGAGACTAAATACCTGGAGAGAGACAGGAATTTCATGTACACAAGCACCAGAGTTAGTCTAGTTGTGTCTCATTAGAGGCCAGGCTGTCCCCTTCAATAGGTGTTCCCAAGCCCGAGTAGCAGGAAAGGCCCAGTCCACTGGTAAAAGGGGACAAAGGCCAAGCCACCTTGTGTATCTGGGTCCCTCCTACCCATAATCATTCTGCCCTGTATCTTGTGGTTGCTCCTCCAAATCCTAATAGGGGCCATTTTATCTTAAGTACCAAACATTAAAGCCTCAAGTGTCTGGGAATTTCACCCCAGAATTTGGGAGGCAATGAAATGTGTAAGAAAGCACATGGTCTTTTGGAGCTAGCCAGACTAGGTTCGATTTTCATTGTTTTGCTTAGTATGGTGTGGTTAAGAAATCTGGCTCTGGAGTTAAGCAGAACTAGGTTCAAATACTATTCTGCCATTTCCTAGCTCTGTGACTTTGGACAAATTACTTAACTTCTCTGAGCCTTCATTTTCTAATATGTAAAACAGGGACAATAATATCACCCTCATTGGTTTTTGGTGACAATTAAGTGAGGAAGTATAGTATCGGAATGTCTTTAGCTGCAAGAAACAAACAAAATCAAAATGGCTGAAACAATAAGAAAAATTTATTTCACATAACAAGAAGTGCAGAGGTAGGGAAGTTTCAGGATTGGTTAATTTATCAAGGACCCAGGTTCTTTTTATCTTTACACTCTTCCAACCTCAGCTCATAGGCTTCCTAGACTGGCTTTCCTCGTGATCATAAGATGGCTGCCATAGTTTCAGGCATCAAATTGAGACACTATAATATGCAGCAGCAGAAGAGGGTCATCTTTTTCTTTCGTGCATGTGTGTGTGTGTGTGTGTGTGTGTTTTAAATGAGTCAACCTCCATCAGGTGTTCTCACAGAAATCTCTGTCTCTCCCCTCAAAGCCTTTGCAATATGCTACTTCCTCACTGAGGCCCTTTCCCACATCTTTGGCCAGAGGTGGGTCACAGGCCTGCCTTTAATCTAGTCACTGACAAAAGGGACAAGGATTATCATGATTGGCTGGGCCAGTTATACTAAATATAAAGTCTTTTTTTCTGAAGGATGGATATCTGAACAAAATTAGGATTCTGTGAACAGAGAAGGAGTGGAGTGGGATGCTTGTTGGGTAGGTAACCGACAATATCTATTACAACATGAAATCTGGAACATGGTAAGCCTTAAATATGTTAGCTATTGTTGTTTTTAACTCTTTCTAACTTATTCAAGTCATATAACTCCTTGAGTATCAATTTCCTTATCTGTAAAATGGGAATAGGATTATCTGATCTATTGGATGGTTATAAAATTAAATGAGATGACACATATAAACCTTTGGTGCTTAGTAAATGATAACTATTTGTTATAGTTGCATGTAGTTATTGCCAGAGTACTTGGGCAGCAGGCTGAAGTCTCTAATAAAAGTTCTTAAGAGTTGACTTCAGCTGGAAAGTTTTGAAAGCAGGACTAGAAACAGCTTGTGTTTAAAGTTCTACAGTTGTGATTGTGTGTATTAATTTGCCCAACCTGAATCCTTTAGGAACAGTTGCCCCCACTGCACACCCCCCCCCCCTGCGCCCCCCGCAAGTAGTTCTCCTTTTGTGTCAGGAGATCCAGTAAGACAATGATTCCTGCTAGGGGGTCCACTGCCCTGGTGCTCTTGCCCCTAGAGGGCATTAGAGGCAATCGCATCTCCTCTACTGAAGGATTAGATGGCCTAAAACCAACAACCAATCCACCACCAAGAGTAGATCTCATTTCTTGGCCTTTGAGTCCTCAGCTTAGGATGAGAGCTTGATGGGTAGGAACTGTCTTCTGTCTCCTTTGCTCCTCCATAGCACCCAGGACTATCGCTGTGTCAACCAGGTTCCCATCCCAGCTCTACCACTTACACTGATGGACCTTATAGTAGCGTGACCTTAGGCAAAGCTATTTGCCACTTTTTGAATGTCATTTTCCTCAACTGTAGAAGAGGGATAATAATATAATATCCACTTCATAGAGTTATGGTAAAGATGAAACTAGAGGATGGCTATACATCATATTTGTCAAACTGAGTGAGCCTTAATAAAGGGTGGCTGAGTTCTTATAAGTATTCAATAACTATTTGTGATTGATTATAGAAGGTTAATCCCTGCACATATGTGCTTGAAGCATTCGAAGATAGTGATAATTAACATAGGTTCAGTGCTTACACATATACAAACTAAGTTTTCCACAGAGAGAGAAATTAGTTTTATCCTAATTTTTACACATGATGATACCGAAGCTCAGAAAATAAGAACTTCGTCTGGGTCACACAGTAAATTAGTGGCAGAGCAGAGATTTTGAACCCATGTATCTCTGATGCCAAAGCCTCATACTCTTCCACAGACCCATTTTTCTCTCTTAATCTTCTCATTTAACTTTCTCTCTGAAGGCAGAGACCCTCTGACCACACCTCTCACATGTCTGCATTGTGGTCTGTCTAGTCTCTGAGTTCCTAGTGCAGTTGCTTGAACCTCTCATTGGTTAACACTTTTGAGTACATCCAGTTAGCCGAGCCATAAGCCTGGATTCAGCCTTTAGCCTTTCCTTTCCCACATTCCTCATGTCTAACAGGTTGCTAAGGTCTGTCAATTTTACTTTTCAAAAAACCCTCAAATTGTTACATACTTTCTTCTTCCCATTACCACCACCCTGTTTCAAGCCTCCAACATCTCCTACTTGGAGTAATGCAACAGTCTTAACTGTTCTCTCTGTCACCATGTCATCCTCCAGACGGGCATTTCTGACAGAGAAAGCTAACCATGTCACTCATGCACTTAAAACTCTTCCAGAACAGGTGGCTCTATTTATTTGTGCAGCTTCATCTTTTGTCATCTTTCTCTGAAATTCTGGTCACATGGAATGACCTGCTGTTCCTGAGCAGACCACACTGTCGCTACCCTCCAAGCCTTTGCATGTGCTACATCTTCTGCCAGGATTAATACCAACCTCACTCCCATCTTTGCTGCAAAATCTCTCTTTATACTTCTAGATGAAGTTCAGAAAAGCATCTTCCCTTTTTCTACCTCTTATCCACAGCTCAAGTGATCCTGAAGCACTTTGCACTTATTTTCTTCAGTGTCAATCTCCCTGGATTGGCACTGTCTTTTACTTCTCTGTCTTTATCATTAGATTATGAGACCATGAGTTGAGGGCAGGGTTCCCCAAATTATTCATTGTTCCACCCTCAGATGAGTAGTGCTGAACTGTTATGACTGCATTGAAGCTTTATCAGTGAAGAGCACCCTGAAGTTTCCAAAGAAGTTGCCATGGGTATTGTTTGGAGCCCCAAATAGCACCACAAAACCATTTACCCTTCGTCCCTCTTCGTCCCCTGAATCCCATGCACAACAAAATAGCACGATGACTTACTTCCTTGGGAGACTTCCAGCAGTTACAGTATTTCAGTAAACAAATAATAAAAGTACGGAACAAGTGAAAGAGGGAAATGTAGGCCCCCAATTGGAGTTGGTAAGAGGCTGTGAATACTTCCAAAGCTGATAGATTTATGATTGAGAATTTTGTGTTTCCACATGGACCTTGCTTGCCTCCAAGATACTAATAAGCAGGGCTGGACACAGAGTCAAAGTGATTTGCATGTGATAAGAGACTTAGGTTCACTTATTGCTTTGACTGGGAAAGGGCTTTGAATTTTTATATTCTGTCTTTAAACACAGGAGTCCTGAATGGTATCAGTGGGGTATGGGTGCCTTTATGCACGTGTGTGCTCTCTCTATGCTTTCTTTTCTCTCTCTCTCTCTCTCTCTCTCTCTCTCTCTATCTCTTCTCTCACACACACACACACACACACACTTCTGTATGTAAGCATTGATTTTTTTAAAACACAATTACATTCTCATGTTTCCCCAAGAAAGGATATAGATAGAAAAGAGACCTATAAGCTTTTCTTCTTCTTACTGGACCTCAGGTGGGTTTAAGCATTCCAGAGTCTCCTATTTGTCTGAGTTGAACCAAATGTCTCCATTTCACATCTCAGAGTCTTGTTACTTTCCATTCATGCCCTAACTTTTATCTAAGAAACCTGGGGAGACTGAATTCTACTAACATAATAATTCTGTAGCCACGGGATCGAAGTTTGGGTCTGGTTTTCACTTATATTAGTCCCGCAGCTATAATAGGTAAAAAATTATTTTAAAGC